TCTTTATCTCCTGTGCCACCTGTATCCCTCAGTTTGCCTTTCCCTTTCACCATCTAAAATGAGAAGATCTAACTGGATGATCTCTATGGTTCTAAAGTCATGATTCTCTGATTTGCAGAGGTGCCGTTTGCAGGGAACCTCCTTAGAGAAAGAGGCGAGAGGATGAATGAGGTCTTCCTTGGCTCACCCTCTCACTCTTTCACCTCATCTCCTCAGTGTGAATGTGTGGTCCTGGTCACCCTTGGCCCAGGGAGGCCCATTGTGATGGTCATATGGAAGACTTTGTCCCCAGGAAAGGGATCCTGGGAGCTTGGGAGAGGGGCCTACTTGGAGACCCTGAACCCAAACCACACAGCTGGTTCTTCCCTCTTCTTCCCTCATTAGCTACCAGGAGGCACAAAAAAGAACATATTCCAAGCTCAAGAGAAAACTAAGAGCCTCAGTTTCCCCTTCCAAGAATGAGATAATTAGACTAAATGGCCTTTAAGATCCCTTTCTGTTTTAAATCCTCTCATTGTAATGACTTAGAATCTGGAGAACCAGTGGTGGCGGCAGTCAGTAAGCATGATGGGAGGTGGTGATGACCCAGCCTTGACAGAAGGCTGTTGATCATAGGCTAGCTGAGGGAACTTACTGAAGATAGTGGGACCTCTCTTCCTCCACATCAGAGGACCTCCTGGGCTAGCTGAGGGAAGAAGGGGATGCCTTGGGGTGCAAGGTTCATCAAAAGCTGGGGCTTGGGGTCAGAAGACCTGAGTTTGAATTCTGTCCCTGCTGCTTTCTTATCCGAGTCACTAAATTTTTCTAGGCCTTGGTGTCCTAACTGATAACAGCTGGCTGACCCCTAAGGCTCCTTTTAGCTCTGAAGCCTCTGCTGATCCATAAATTAGGGTCAATACCACTTGGGACCACTCACCTCCCAGGGCTTGTGCAGAAGGTAACCTCTTTATAAACCCAAAAGTTTTAGCTCATCCTGAGCCCTGGGCTCCTGGGTTTGACAACTCCATCCTGCGGCCCTTCTTTCTCATGCTGGTGCTAAGGAGGAGGCTGAAGCCCAGTCTTTGCTTGTTCCTTCTTCCCATCTGTCCTAAGTGCTGGCGTCAGCCCCAGGGGCCCTCCTTCTTGGCTCCACATCCCCTGTCCTGGTTGTAACAGAAGTTCTGAACAACCCTTCCTCTTCCTCTAGGCCTGGCCTCTAGCATGGACAACATCCCTGTCCTTGTCATGGGAAGGCGGGGGTGACAGCCAAGCTGCGGGTTTCTGGACACACCAAGCCCAGTCCCTTGTCCCTTTCTCCCGACCTCCAGCCCCCCTAGCCCACCACTAACACAGCTCTCAGCCAAGGCTTATAGCATCCCTTGCATAAAGTCATTCCTTCCCCCCTCCCCAATTCCAGTGGGAAAGCTGAGCTAATGAGCCACTGCTGGGGACAGAAGTGGAGAGCTGATGGGCTTGGATGTGGGGCTCCTGTCATAAGCTTTCAGGGGATGGGAGGAACTTTAGAGAACCTCTGCTGTGGCTCCCAAGGAGAGAAGAAGAAGGGCCAGGATGAGAGAAGCAAGGAGAGAAGGGATGTGAGTTAGCAGGAGGGTGCAAGAGGGAGAAGCTTGCCCCCACCCCTCTTCCTGCCTTTCTTTGTGAAGCAGCAGGAGGGAGGCCACTGAACTCCCTCCTACATTTATCTTAAAGCCTGTGCACATCACCACCGAGCCAGGCCAAGCTTAGCTTTGTCATTAAATCCCCAGGTCATCATCTGGGGCTCAGGACAGTGTGGGTGGGCCTAGCACAAATAGTCTCTAGGCTGGGGTTGTGTCGTGCTCCAGCCCCTCCTCCCCTCGAGCCAGGCTGGCCAAGGCTCAGCAGTGGAGGGGAGGGCCCAGCCTGCAGGGGCTGTCGGTACATTCTGCCCTTCTGTATTCTCTAGAGATCTAGAGGGCATGAAGTCCATCCCCCAGATTCCAAGCAGCTGTGCCAGGTTAGGCCCACAGGCCAGAGGAGAGTCCTAGGGGGTTAGAGCAGTAAGGAGTGGACCCTGGTGGCCATCCAGTCCCACCTCCTCAGAGAAGCTCAGTAACTGGCAAAGGGTCCCACAACAGTTAGGTCAACACAGGGGGAACTTGTCCAGGTCCTCTGACTCCAAACCCAGTGTTCCTTCCACTGCACTTAGAGAGGGTGACAGGTCTCCTCCCACCTACTCTCCTCAGCCATCCTAGCATTCTGTGCCCTAGCAAAGGCCAGGGAGGGACTTCCTCTTCCCTGGAGGAAGTCTTTGTGAAGGCCAGATATAATTCTATCTTTGCCTTCATAATAGTTCACGTTTCTGGAACACTTTTCTCACAATTTGGAGCATGGTGATCCCTATTTTACAGATGAGGAAACTGAGACCTTGAGAAGGGAAATGGATTGCCAGGGTCACACAGTTAGTAAATAGAAGAGCCAGGATTTGAACCCATTTCTTCCATTTCCAAGTCTTCTTTTTTTGTCCATGCTCTGATGCCTCTTTTTTCCTTCAGGGAGTAGGGGTGGGTCGTGTACTGCCCTACCTTTCATATTTAGGTGGTGATCACCTGCATAATAGAGCAGTGCGCGCACACACACGCACACACACACAGCCGTTCATGGCATTCACAGTACCCTGTGCCTGTAGTTCTAAGGAAGGCTGCTTCTTTCTGTCTTCATATCACACTGCTGCTGAGCACATGAGGACACCCATGTTTCCAAAAGCGGCAAAAGGTAGCCTGGGATATTCAGTTGTCACAGAGGCTTCCCAGAAGGACAAGTAGACTGGGACGTTCAGTTCAGTAGTGAAAAATGCTCCAGGTTTGGAATCATTGGGTCTGGGTGGGAGACCTGATGCTATCACTGACTAGCTGTGTTAACCCAATGCAAGTCATTTTGTCTCTGAACCTTATCTTCACAAACAAGGACAGTTTGTAAACTTCAGAGCACAGGAAATGAGAGCCCATGTCAATAACAATAAGTGTGCTCTCGCTTGTGCGCGCACACACACGCACACGGCAGGCTGGGGGGTATTAGGGAGTGGGCCTAAACCCTAAACCATCTATGCCCCATCTCTACAGGACAAGTGACCAGGAGTTATGCCCAAAGAGATTCCTTTGGGCCACATGAGCAGGGTGAGGTCAGGGACATTTGGTGGAATAACAGACCCTATCATATTAGAGCCTGAATCAGAACTGCCTTACCTGTTAGTATATGGTGGGTGGGCCAGCCTCCTAGGCCTCTTGACCGAGCTGCTAGTGTTTCTGACCCAGAGGGCTCTCGGAATTCATTGGATTTAGAGCTGGAAAGGAGCCTTTGACATGATCACATCCAACCCACCTATTTTACAGATTGGGAAAGTGAGGCTGAGGGAGAGGAAAGGACTTGCTCAAGGTGACACAGTGAATGGCAGGGCCCGGACTGGCCTCCAGATGTCCTGACTCTTTGTCCAGAGCACTTTGCCCTGTAGTGCTATCTTACTAGCCTTTTGTCCTTTGTTTGGCTCCCTGCCCCCACTCCAGGCATCTGCACACAGTAGGGACTGGCAAAGGCTGATTGCCAGCCTGGTTGGAACATCAAGTGCTCCAGCCAGGCTTGCTTCCTGCACAGCCTCCACCCAGCAGCTGTTGCCTGTAAGGTGTTTTGCCGCTAATGAGAGAGGAGCTTTGTTAATTATCGGGTAAAAGGGAGCTGAGGCCCTAGGGAACAGGTGTCGGCACCACCTCCTCCCGTGAGGCCCCCAGCTCCTCGGCTGTGATGGGGCTGTCAGTTCCCTGGGAAGGCCAGCATGCATCGGCCCACCCTGCTGTTGGAAGAAGGTGGGGCTGGGGTGGGGAGAGATTCTGTGTCTGGGAAACTCTGAGCTGCTAATTGCCAGATTACAGCCTGGAGAATTCCCTGATTAGCCCAGCTAATGGCTCAGAGGCAGCCTGTTTGTTCTAACCCAATTATATGCTAGAGATGACATGGCAGAGACCTAGCTGAAGCCTGGCTTCCCTCAAAGCAGAAGGACTACCTGGCTCCCGTCCTCTTTGGCCCATGCGTGCCATCCTTGGCTGAGTCTCTACGATTGGCCCTCCCCCAAAGAGAGACTAGGAAAGTAGAACAAATTCATGAGAGGTAGGACGAGATAGGAGAAAGAATGCTGGGCCTGAAGTCAGAAGAGCAGGGTTGAGTTTCAATTCTTACACTTCCTAAGCTGTGACAAATCACTATCCCTCTCTGAGCCAGAATGTCCCCCTCTGTAAAATGAGGATAATTGTACTCAAGCTGCCTCCTTCACCAGGTTGTGGTGAGGGAAGTGCTTGGTCAGCCCTAAAGCACTGTAGAAAAGCAAGCTACTGTTCTTACTTAAGGTGCAGCATATTGCTGATAAAAGGCTGGGCTTGGAATCTGGAGGACTTGAATTCAAGTCCTGCTTCTGACAGACTAGCTGTGTGACCTTCAGTACCCCAAGCAGCTCTGGGACTGTCCGTAACAGATGAGCTGCCCATTTGCATCTGCTGAAGGAGTTTTCAATATAACAACCACAGATCCAGATTAAAAAAAAAAAAGTTCCTCTTTCAGCAAACATTTCCCCAGCACTTGGGCAGGTCGAGTCAACTCCTTTGGATCTCATTTTCCTCAGCTTAAAATGGTGGGCGTAGGAGGACTGGTGGTAATGGCCCCTGCCCCATCTCCCTCTCAGGGCATGGCCAGGATCCAGGAAGATCATCGATGTGAATGGGCTTTGAAAACCATGCTCAGGCTTTTCAAGTGAGGGGTGATGTTAGTTGTTTGGAGCAAAAACCAGAGGATTTTGATAGGTGAGGCTGGTGACCCACAATACAGTGTATTTGGTGAGGGGAAGGAGGGGCTCTGGGTTTGGGTGAATACATGTATAGGGCCTGAGCATACAGGGAGCAAATAGGTAGGTTGAATGCTGGGTTTCTCTTGTGTTTCTGGACAGGCCTCCCCAGGTCCTTCCTTCCTAACCCCGTCCCTCTTTTCGCCCCACCCAGCTATCTAAATGACCTGGAAAGGATATCTCGGTCAGACTACATCCCCACCCAGCAGGATGTGCTGAGAACCCGAGTGAAGACCACTGGCATTGTGGAGACTCATTTCACCTTCAAGGATCTGCACTTCAAGTAAGTTGGTAAAACCAGGGAAGGACAAAGCACAAAAGAAAGCTTTCAACCGATATCTTTGATATGAAAAATGTTAACTAAAATCTTAGCAGCAGACCTTTTGTGTAGTACTGGGGCATCTCAGTCTGAGTATACTGAAGGGCCAGAAGTAGAATCACAGGGATACAGATGGAGTGCACACAGGGACCCAGGAGGCCATCAAGTCCATTTTACAGATGGGGAGAGGGAAGCCCAGAGAGGTTGAGTGATTGCCAAGGTCGCACAGATAGTCAGTGGCAGAACCAGAATGTGACCCTAGGCTCTTAGACTTCTGATCCTGCCTAGCCTCTGGCCCCACCTCCGGCCTGCCAGGCTTCAAACCTTCACTGGGTTCTGTGATCCCCACCCTTCCCCCTTTGTCAGGGCAGGTGAGTGAGAGAGAGGTGGTTGTCTCCACTGGGTGAGTGTTGCTCAGCACAGAGGAAGATGAAATGACCCACCTCAGAAAGCTGAATGGCCCTAGTCCAGGACAGTCAACATTTATTAAGCACCTACTGCATTCAGAGCACAAGGTAGGGGCTGACAAGAAACAAAACTTCGTAAAAGAGAGAAACCATGTGGTAAAGTAGATAAGGGTTGTCCTCAGAGCCAGAGCGACCTAGGTTCAAATCCCACTTTTTTTGTTTGTTTGTTTTTGTTAAGCAATGGGGTTAAGTGACCTGCCCAGGGTCACACAGCTAGTAAGTGTTATGTGTCTGAGGCCGGATTTGAATTCAGGTCCTCCTGACTCCAGGTCCAGTGCTCTATCCACTGTGCCACCTAGCTGCCCTCAAATCCCACTTCTGACGTGTACTGGCCTAGTGGGCTGTCACCAGTGTGCAAGGGTAGAGGGAATTTCCTCACCTAAGCTCTATACACTAATAAAATCACAGGTCTAGGCCCAAATGAAACATGGCAAGCACTTCCCTAGCTCTTTAAGGTTTGCCGAGCACTATGTGTACATCATCTCCTAGGTCCTCTCAGTAATCCTATGAGGCTGGTAGTATTATCATCCCCATTTTACAGATGAAGAAATAGAGGCTGAGACAAGTGGTTACCCAAGGTCACACACCTAGTGTCTTAGGCAAGATTCCTGGCTCCAAAGCCAGCACTTTACTACCTCCAGATAAGACAAAGTCCCTGCCCTCATGGTGCTTATAATCTGGGAGGATGATAAACAGCAAGATCGCTATATAAGTGTGTGTAGAGAAGGGTGCCAACAAAGAGCTTGTCATCTGAGGTCCTGGTCTTTGGGGAGCAGAGGGATCTTGTCTTCTGAGAGGAGCTAGCTTTGGAATCAGGCTTTCAAAAAGGGTGGGTAGGGATTCCACAGTGAATGAGGAATGGGCACAATCTGATAAAGGCCTGCAGGTGTAGGGCACTCTCGTGGTGCCTTTTCCATCCTGTGCCAAACATTTCCCACATGTCTCAAGGCCCTTGATGAGGAAGACATGGGATTACATTGGCCAAACTCTTTTTTCTAGATGGAGTTTGCTCACAGATGTCCAAAGGAGAGCTAGGGGCTGTTCTTTGTTAGGTAGCCCTGGAGAAGTAGCATAGAATCAGGGCTTAGCTCTAGAAGAGACTTTAGATGTTATCAAGTCCATCCTTCCCTCGTCTTACAGGTGGGGAAACTGAGCCACAGAGTGAGAAAGGTGGTTGTTGCTCAGAGTCACAAGGTAGTGAGCAGCCGTGACAGGATTCAGACCACGTCCTGAGAGAAAGGGCACCCCCCATTTTCCAGAGTTCTGTCCCCAGCCCTCCGGAGAAGGCGACCTGGCCAAATCCCCCACTCCGGGGGTCGTGCTCCCGAGGCTTTCTCAAGTCCCAGATCTGGCAGAGAGTCACAACATCAGCAGCAGCTCCGGCCAGCATGCACTTGCTGTGTGACTGGGCAATGCCCTCTCCATCCCTGGGCCTCAGTTTCCACATCTGCATATGGAGGGAATTGGATTAAATGATCTCTCAGGGCCCTCCCAGCTCCACCAGGGTTCTCCCTCTATTTTTTCCCCTGAAGAAGAGAGAGTATTTTCCAAACTCTCATCACCTCCAAAACTCACTATGGGGGCATCTTCGTAACTGCTAAAAATCTTCTGAGGGAACACCACACAGAAAGCTATAATAGGTCAGGCAGAAAAGTATATGCTCCATTCAGCCCTCTCTGAGCCTGCCTCAGCGGGCAGGGGGTGGAAGGAGTCAGTGGTTAAGGGGAAGAGGGGTGGGGTGTTTGCCCTTATGGAGGCCAGGAGAACTGGGCCTGCCAGGAGTGGGGACCAGTATCAGCAAGGACTGAGGAGCTGTCCTCTGACCCCTCAAACAAAGCTATCTGGGACTCAGTTTCCCATCACTTCCTCTATTGAGGCTGGTAATTAGAGAACAGTACAATGCTCAGTAGAGAATCCCATGATATCAGAGGTGGGAGAGACTTTAAAGATCTGTCATCCAGCTTTTCCCTCCATTTTACAGATGAGGAAATTAAGGCCCTCAGAGGGGAGAGGAACTTGCCCATTCCCACATAGTAAGTCACTGGCCGAGGCAGGACCGGAACCCCTGCGCTCAAGGGAAAGGGACATGGTCCTAGGTACTGGCAAGTTGGAGGGTGAGCTGGGCACAGCTGTGTGCTGGGGCCCTGCTGGCCAGGGAGAAGGGGCAAGGCCCGGCCTGGGAGGACTCATAACAGCACATTACAGTGTACTGAGCATGAAGTAGATAATATGACCATGATGGATTGCTCCCGTTTTGCAGACGAGGAGTAGAGAGTAAAGGGAGGAATAAGACTTGGGGCCTGGAATCCTGACTTAAATCCTGGCTCACATCCTTGCTGGTGGTGTGGCCTCGAGAGCTTCAGTTTTGCATCTGTAAAATGGGGTTGATCAGGGGCAGCTAGGTGGCGCAGTGGATAGAGCACCAGTCCTGAAGTCAGGAGGACCTGAGTTCAAATCCGGCCTCAGCCAAACACTTGACACTTACTAGCTGTGTGACCCTGGGCAAGTCACTTAACCCCAATTGCCTAAAAAAAAAAAATAAGTAAATAAATAAAATGGGGATGATCACCCTTAGACCACCTCCCTCCAAGGTCTGCTCAGGGGTTTTGCAAGCCTGAAAGTGCTAAAAATCTCAAAAGGAGTCAGCACCACTGTCGTCATCCTTAATAAGCTCCCAGGCAGATTCCCCCTGGCCAGACAGAAAGGGAAATCTTCATACCACGGGGGCAGTTCCACTCCCAGTATCACATGTCCCCTGCTTCTCTGTGGGCTGGCAGCTGTGAGAAGCTGTGGCCTGCCTTAGCTGTCCCCCAGGACGAATGCTAGGGAGGTCATGCGGCTGAAACCCAGGGGTGGCCCTGAGAGCGCTGTCACGGTGAAGGGGAGGGAGCCACAAGACCAGTCAGCAGGAGAGGCCAGGGCTGCCTCAGGCACTAACTCATCCAGCTTAGAGCCAGTAGGGATCCAAGAATGGGGCGGGGGTGGAGGGGGAGAGACTGAAGATCAAGTAGTCCAGCGCCCTCGTTTGGTGATGGCCAGAGAGAGGAAGGGGCTTGGCCAGAACTCACCACCTAGGACCAGGGACCTTTCCACGTGTAGACCTGGGAGAGCTCATTCATTGCAGGCCTCAGACCACTTTGCCCCATACGAGCACTCAGAACGAAGCTTAACTCCCCGTGCTCAGACCCATAGCCCTCTTAGGCCTGGGGCAGCCGAGAGGGAGTGGGAAAGCGGCAGACTTGGGATGTGCTCTGCCCAGTCCCAAAGTAGAGGCTGGAATTCCATCCTCATCTGCCCCTGGGATCGGAAGGTGCTAACTGAGCATAATTAATCCCACTTAGATACCCCTTTATAACTTAGAGAGGACTGAGCAGTTTGGGCCTGGCCTCAGTGTCCCCCTTTAGCAGAGGCCAGCTAGTGACCACGGCATGTCATTGACCTTTCCTGGGCCTTCTGTAAAAGGGGGGTAATAAAAGGAGCCTCAAAGGGCTGTTGTCACACACACACACACACACACACACCCAGCACCCATATATTACAAAGAAGGGCACGCAATAAGGCTCGGTGGACAGAACTTAGCCTGGGCAGGGGGATGACAGGTTCTGACACGGCTGTCAGTGCCCATGACATTCCACTGGTTCTCTTGGCCCCAGAAGACAGCACTAGTGAGAAAGATTGGGTCTCCAGGTAAGGAAAACTTCCTAGCATTGAAACCCGTCCGACAGGAGGCCAGGCTGCCTGGGATTTCCTCGGCACCTCATCCCTGGCTACATTGGGTGGAGGCTGCCTCACTACTTGCTGCGGGCCCAGGACGGTCAGACTAGATGCCGTCTGAGATTCTGAAAGAGACTTGCCAAAGGTCACAGGACCAAGCAGGGTAGGAGCCAGAAAGGAATCTCGTTTCCTTCCAGTGCCAAAGTTGGGGCTGGGGGAAGCGAGGCAGCTCCACCAGCACAAGCCACAGGCTGACCGGAATCCTCGGTGTTTGCAGGATGTTTGATGTGGGCGGGCAGAGATCTGAGCGAAAGAAGTGGATTCACTGTTTTGAGGGCGTGACGGCCATCATCTTCTGTGTGGCCCTGAGCGCCTATGACCTGGTCCTGGCTGAAGATGAGGAGATGGTAAGGTGCCACCCCTTCCCTCCACCACCACCCCAGTGCTCCCCACGAAGGCTTCAGGCACATGGGATTGACCCCCCTCATACACACCAATGCTTTGTGGGAGGTGGTGAGGTAAAGGGGAGGGGGAGGGGGAGGGTCATTGGAAAGGAAGGAGTAAGAAGTCAGGCCTTGGAGACCAGGACGGGGGAAACAAAGCATCCCTTCCTTCTGCCCTAAGGAACCCTCAGTCTCTAGATGAAACTTTCTCACTGACAGCAGAAAAGTCTAATTACAGAAGGAGTTGTGGGGGGATAGGTTAGAAAATATGGTGGGAAAGTTGCCTGGGGGATATGGATGGCCGTTGGGCTGGGACATAGGAAGAGGAAGGAGGCCTTGCAGCTACAGCATTGCTGCTCTGCCTTGGATCGGGCCAAGATTTTATCCCCGCAGGCCTCTTCTCTCCTCCCCCTCTCCAAAAGGCTGAGTGGATTTCTCTAGTAACAAAGGGGCCTCAGTTTCCCACTTATACCCGCTGCTGTCTCCCTGCTCCTTCATCAGCCCCAGTGGCTTCCAGAAAGGGCTCAGCTGGCAAACTAGCAAACAAATCCAGCACTAGGAGTGGTGGGCAGCAGTGGCAGTGCCCAAACTCCATTTACTGAGCTCTGGTTTCCCTCCATCGCTGACCCTTCAGCCCACTGCCCACCTGTGGCTGGGGCTGTGCCCAGAAGGGGACCTCTTCTGGCCCATGGCAGGTGGGATGAGGTGGGCTCTAGTGTGGTACATCTCACTGCCTCCATATTCTGCCTCCTACGCTTTGGGGCTAGGAAGAGCAGTTCCTGTGTACCACTCTCTCCCACCCTGGAGCCTGAGGCCCAGGACACGGTCCCAAATTCTGGGGACTCCCTGCTTCTTCCTGCCCCTCCGCTGACCTTCTTTCTTTGTTCTGCCTCCCCTAGAATCGAATGCACGAGAGCATGAAGCTTTTTGATAGCATTTGTAACAACAAGTGGTTCACAGACACCTCCATCATCCTTTTCCTCAATAAGAAGGACCTGTTTGAAGAGAAGATCACTCACAGCCCCCTCACCATCTGCTTTCCTGAGTATTCAGGTAGGAGACCTGGCTAGAGAAAGGGAGGAGGAGCATTGCCGTCTGCTTCCCCAGGTGCCGAGCAGGCTGGGGAGACCTCTCCATCTGCTTCGCTGAATCCCTGGAGGGAGCGGGGAGAGGCACGCGGGCCAGGTTTCACAGCTCCCGAGGTGACCCTCCCACGGTGCACAGGGAGGACACTCTGTTCTGTAGCCTCTCCATCCAGGGCCAGCTTCCTTTTTCCCTGGACAGGGGAACACTAGGGAGGGGTCGGGCTGAAGGCAAGTCAGTGAGACCCCCACTGGACACCACTGGGCCAGAGAAGGTAGAGAGAGGATTGTCCAGTGATCCAAGGGGGACCCCTGCTGGAAGAGAGGAGAATGACAGCTAGCCCTAAGCCAAGCTCCCCTCACTCCTCCTGCCATAGAAACTGTCCCAGAGGGCAGGGATGGGGTCCTCTGATGGAGGACCCACTATCCTGGGGAGAACCAGCCAGGCTCCTACCAGTGACTAGAAGAGCAGAGAAGGCCGAGGTGGGGAGGATGGTGATGGGAAGACTGAACTGTGTGCCAGCTTCCCCTCTCATGCTTGCTGGCCCCCAACCTTGCTGGCAGCAGCTTTCTCACCTGTAAAATGAGGGCGCTAGACTGGATGGCCTCTGGATATCCTCTGGCCCCCAAACCTGTGATCCCTCTTGGCCCCCATTTGTCCTCCTTTTGTAAACACACCTGGGAAAAAACCAGACCCTGGGAAGGAAGGGGCCTTGGCCTGGTGCTCGCCTCCTGCTCTCATCTTCCTTCTGCCCTTCCTTGGCCACCTCCCCAAGTGGCATGGCCACATTTGTCTCTGTACCAGTGTTCCCTCCTTCAGACTGTTGGGCCTGGCCCTGATGCCTTTTCTAGGGTTTTACCGGCCACAGGACAGAAAGATACAGATGAATCACCCCGAAATCTTGTCCTGAGACTCAGCTTCCTGGGGCCGTGGCCCTGGCCTCAGCTGGCTCAGATTGCTCTACCATAACGTAGCATCAGAATTAGAGCTGGAAAGGACTTTGATGACCATCAAGCCCACCTCTAACCCCTTTCCTGAGGAGGAAACTGAGGCTGAGAGAGTTTAAAGGACTTACTCAGGGTCCTACAGCTAGTAAATGTCTGAGGCAGGATTTGAACTCAGATCCTGACTCCCAAGTCTGGCTTTGTACCCACTGTAATACCTGGCTGCCTATTCATTTAGGAGAAAAGCCAATCGGCTTCTCCCTGGCTAAGGCAGGCACAACGAGGTATATATTACAGGGGGAGCTTCTCAGCTCAGTACCCATGTGACCTCAGTGATAACGTCCTTGGGCCTCAGCTTCCTCCTTTGTACAATGAGGGGACCACTGCTCGGCACACAACATGGCACCTAGCAGAGACAGTGTTGGATGGCCTTGAATCCTGTCTGCTGGGGGACCCTGGTCAGTGCAGTTAGCCCGAGGACCTTTTACCTCATCGACAGAGTTGGCACAGTAATAACAACAGCTCTCTGAGGGGTTGTCGTGAGATGATGTATGTGACGTGCTCTGCAAATGTTAAAGCATCCTCTCTTCTGTTTGCAAAGTTGCGTGTACCAAACTCCATGCATCGTTCCAAATAGAAATGAAGAACAGAGGGAGTGAGGGCTTGCATTCAGCAGTCCTTAAGATCCTCTCTGGAAAACACCAGGATGCTGTGGTTGTACAAACATCACACTGGCAGCTCCTCCTGAACTTGAATTCTCTTTCCACCATCTTGTACTTGGGAAGTTAAGTGGCTGGACTCTGTGCATGGTCCGGACCCTCTGTCCTCACCTGCCCCTCCTGGCTTCCTTCAGTCCCACCTTATGGCAGAGGCCTGTCCTGGGGCCTGTCCCACTTCCCTTCTCCCCTCCCTCACAGACCTCTGACACTACCAGGCATTTTAACTATAGAAATGTTCTTTGCCTGTCGTCTCCCCTGTTAGAATGGGAGCTCCTTGAGGGCAAGCACCATGTTTCTGCCTTTCTTTGTATCCCAGGCATAGGGCCTGGCATAGAGTGTGGCTTACTGTGAGCATAGAATACATCTTTGACTGACTTCACAGCATCTTGTTCGTCCGTCCCCTTCCCTCCCCTCACAGGACTCAAGCTCTCAGGCCTCCATCTCTCCTCCACCTGGACTATCATAATAACTTTGTTTGGCCTACTTGGATCTGGTTTTTCTCATGTCCAGTCCATTTTCCACACAGCTCAAATGAATATTTCTAAATTACCAGTGTGGCCATGTCATTCCCCTTCCCAAGAATCCTCTGCGGCTCCCTGCTGCCCCAAGGGCCGAACACGAGCTCTCCGACCTGACGTCGAAGCCCTTTCACTCTGGTTCCCACATAGCCTTCCATACTTACTTCCTGTTCCTCTCCTTCCAGGGCTATACCTTCTAGGTAACCCGGTCTTCCACCCTCTCCTGACATCTCCAGCTTCCAAGCCTTTGCATAGACTGTCCCCACTCTTGGAGTGCCCTCCTATCTGCTGCCTCTTAGAATCCCTAGCATCCTTCAAGGTCCAGCCCAGTTCCAGCCCAAGGTCCAGCCCTCTTACTTTGTCTTACTCAGACTTTTGCTTGATTTTCCCCAGCTCATTAGTACTCTCTCCCTCTTGAAATTACTTTGAGGCAGCTAGGTAGATTGAGTGCTGGACCCAGAATCAGGAAGACCTGAGTTCAAATCCTGCCTCAGACACTTACTAACTCTGTGACTCTGGGCAAGTCACTTAACCTCCCCCGGCCTCAATTTCTGCATCTGTAAAATGGGGACAATAACAGCACCTTCCTCACCAGGCTATCGTGAACATCAAATGAGGTAATATATATAAAGTGCCTTGTGAACTAAAGCTCTATATAAATGCTCCCTGTTATCATCATCATCACTGCATACATATCATTTCCCCATCTTCCACCTCCAGGAGCATGTAATTCCTTGACAAGAGGAGCCATTTTTCATTTTCACTTTTGTACCCCAGGGCCTTGCACTCTTCAGGCATTTACTAATGCTTGTTGAATTGATTGAATTGAGGTGCAGTCGGCTCTACAGGTGACATCTCCATTCCACAGATGGAGAAAGTGAGCTGAGAAAAGCCGTGAGTCCTTGGCAGAGGTCACATAGCCAGTAAGTTTCAGAGGCTGGATGTAGACCAGGCTGTCTCCTGGCTCCAAGTCTGGTGCTTGTTCCAGTGGATTATGGTGCCAAGGACATGACCCAAGGACCCTGCCCTAGAGAAAGCCTTCCAAGTTGTGATCAGACCGTGAAGGACTATTCTCTGGACATGGCCTTTCAGCAGGTCAGAATTGGCCTCCCTGGAATTTTATCTAGCCCACATCTCTTTGTCTGGGCCACTTTGGTAAATGCTCTGTGGAAACCCTAGAAACGGAGGCAGAAAAGGAAATAAAATTCATCTCTTAGAATTGGGAGTTTGATTTTTGGACCCCAAGTATAAAATTGCATTTATCCCCACCCATTAAAACCCCTTTGTGATTGGTCACCACTTCCTCTCCTAGATGTCCATTCACTCACCATCCCTTTAGGAGCTAACACATTCCCAGATTGCATCAAGGATCCACATACTTAGTTGACAAATTCTGCTCCTCCGCCTTTTTTGATCATGAGGGCAGCCTCTGCCCCACTCTCATTCTGTAACACGTCTCATATTCTCCGTGATCTTTCCAAGCTCACTGGCGGAGATTCAGTCATCATGTCTGCCCGTCCTCTCAGTATCCAGAGGTAGCGATTTTCTGGACCAGACGACTTAGGCTCCCAAAGAGTCTTTAGACACTCTGATCTCCCACTTTTGTTCATTCTTTCTCTGTCCAGAGATGACTTTCCTAGGTAGAGAAAACAGTAGCAATGTAAGCATCCTCTTTGGCATTCGTCTGCATCGTCCCATCCAGCCTGAGCAGCGGCCCTGTTCTTTCTGTGAGCCTTCTCTTTTCCCCGGTATAACTAGAACGTTGTTCTCTTTGTCTGTCTTCTCCGGCCTTGTTTTTGTACTCATCCCTTACCTACGCTTGCTTACACATTCAGCACAAGTCCTTTTAAGTGGGCAGGGGCGTTCCCTCTGTATCCACATCAGATTCTTTAGACAATTCCCCTTTTTCCTTATCAGAGTTATTTTTCCCTGTTTATTCTCTCTACCATGGGTGAGGCCAGAGGTATCCTCTGAGTTGTCTCTGGCCCTTGGTCCTGGTGAACTGGAGACAGAGCTTAGCCTCCGAGAGCTAAAGAGGCAGCGGGGCTTGGACTGGATCTGGAAAGTAACAGTCCTGGGAGTCACAGAGCTGGTAGCAAGGGTGGCCAGCGGCCGCCCCCGTGGCCCTTTTCTTCACCACACGATATCCCCATCTCTCCCCAGGGGCAAACAAGTATGATGAGGCTGCCAGTTACATCCAGAGCAAATTCGAGGACCTGAACAAGAGGAAGGACACCAAGGAAATCTACACGCACTTCACATGCGCCACCGACACCAAGAACGTGCAGTTCGTGTTTGACGCCGTCACCGACGTCATCATCAAAAACAACCTGAAGGACTGCGGCCTCTTCTGAGCAGGTGGCCGAGGGCTGGCGGGCGGGAGGCGAGAACCAGGGAGGGAAGAGACAGGACGGGACAGAATGGGGGAAGCATGGAGCGCACACTGCGAGGATGACTGCGGCTGCCATTCCGGGGGAGGCAGGGCCCTGACCTCAGGAAGTCTTCTGTCTAAAGAGGAGGGGGGACAAGCTAGGGGCAAGGGCTGTCTCACACACAGACATACACGTTTGGAGGCAGTTTTAAAAGTGCAAGGCATTTTGAGTAAGGCAGGAAGGCTGACTAGAATTGAAGTCCAGACTGGGCCCTCCCTCCACTGGGGGGCCCTAGCAACAGGGGGCTGGCTGTAGACACAACTAGAGGAGGGGCTGCTGGCTGCCTTCTCACCACCCCCAGGCCCTCAGAAAACCTGGTAACCAGGCAACTGCAGACTGGTTTCTAAGCCCGCAGCCAGGGCCTTGATGGATGGGAAGGGTCATTGTTCTGAGGGCTGAGACGGCCAGAAGGAAGGAGATGCTGAGACAGAGAAGTCTGCAGTGAGAACCTCCCGCTTGGGGGCAGGGGGCGGCATGGGGAGGCATGGAGCATCCAGGAGACAGTGACCCAGCCTGAAGGCCGAGGAGAGCAGGGCAGAACCACCTGGACCATGGCTGTGTGGCCCCACCCCCCAGGGCTCCAGTGATCTCTCTCTCTCCTCCCAGCAGGACCGCTCAAGCTGCTCAGTCTCTGAGCAGGAGGAAGATGCAGACAGGACCAAGGAAGGAAGGATGCACCATCATAGCGACTTCAACTTCTCTCCCCAGTCTCCTCCCTTCTCCCTCTGTTTCCATGTTTTGGTTTCTCCCCCACCTAACAAAGAGACTTTGATGAAGAGTGGAAGGCAAGAGGCCCCTGAGGTTTGGATCTGAGCCTGCCCGGCCCAGCCCAGCAGCTGTGAGGAACCTCCTGCCTCCCTAACCCTGCCCCCTCCCCAGCCCTCCCACTGCAGCAGTCCCTTCATCAGCTCCACCCTGGGCTGCATCCTGGTTTCTCTTCTATTTTATTCTGTGTTGGGGGGCGGGGGGTGTCGGTCTTTCTGAAACTTGGGTTTGTGGTAAAGGAAACCCTGTATTTCTCTGGCCAATACTGTTGGCACCTCTGCCTTGCCAGGATCCCCCCCCCCAGCCCATCCCCTGGCCCATGTTTACGGCCCCCTGGGCCCTGCATTCGCAGGAAGTCCCTCGACAGCTGTGCCCCTTCCCTCCCAGGCTGGCCCAGCCCCCTCAGGGCCACGGGGAGCCCTTCCAGGATAAAGCACAAAGCCACCCTGAACAGGAGGTGACACCGATGACAACATTCCTTAGCCCAGAAGTCCCAAAGCTCCTTTCTGTTTTTCTTGGGCCTTTTGTGTGTGTGTTTTTTTTAAATATAAAACAAAACTTTAGGGACCTTTTTAGAGAAGACTATTTAAAACTGTCCTGTACTAAATGGCTGAGTCGTCCTGATCTGTGCTGGATCACCTCCTCCAGGGGAGCCCGTGCCTTGGCTGTCTGTCTGTTTACATCTGTCTATCTCATTGCTTGCTCTGGCCCTGGGGGCCGTTGGGGAGGGCTTCGCCTGTGTTCCGTACCCACCGATGATGGGACGGCAGCCTCTCCAGCCACCCAAAGCCTCATCTCCCTCCCCCTCTTCCTTTTCTTCTCCATTCCAGTTCCACCCCCCATCCCCCCAACAAAGGTTTCCAAAGGGCTAAGTCTTGAGTCAACTGCCAACGTCACCAGGGGCTTCTCCTCATCTCCCACTCCCACCAGCCCTGCCTCCGTCCCTCTTCGGCAGCTCTCCCGATAGCTCTATTAACTGTAGCTCCTTAGCTCTAACGATAGGAAGGGCCACTGCCATGAGGGCTCCCATCTTCATCCCTCATCCCAACCCCCTGAACCCTGCCCCAGGCCCCAGAGTCAACAGCATCGGATGCCTCCTCGCTTTTTTCACACGTTTTATCAAATTGTTCACCTGGTTTGAAATAATAAAATGTAGAAAGAAAAAATCCCACCTGCTCCAAGCCTTCCTCCTTTGTCTTCCCTGATGTGGCTGGGGGGGGTCTCCAGGCTCTAGCCTCTGACTTGAGTTCCCCGGACTCCTCTGCACCGGCCTGGGGCACTGGGAGGGCATCCTGTCCTGGGACAGTGAGGGGCGCTGGTCCACGCCCGTTCTGGACAGGCACTGGTGGTGTGCAGTGGGAAGTTGGCCTCTGGGCCAGAGCATTCCCAGCCATATTCCTCCCCATGCATTCATACACACTTCCCTCCAACAGTTCATTTACAGCTGAGGGGGTGAGAGGCAATGGAGCAGGGAGGGAATCCAAACAGTGTGCTGGAATCAGGTGATGGGTCGGCAGCATGCCACGCCGCCACTCAGCTGTTGGTTTCACCCTGTTCCCATCGCCTGGTAAGGACTCCCGGGAGGGAGTGGAGTGTTGGGGGGTTGCCTGGGCACAAAGCCCAAACTGGGATTTGGTTGCTACTTCTCTGCCTCACTTTCCCCTATTGGTATAATAAATATATAGGAGAGTTCACTCCTTCCTTAAGTAGCCTGTTTCATGTTCAGACAATTCTTTATTTTAGTCAAAATCTGCCCACTTCATTGGGCTTAATTCTGCCCCTAAAGGCCACAAAATACATCTAAGAATCTAGATGCCCCCTTCCAACTCTCAAATCCTGTAATTCTTAGTGCATCTGGCTATTGTCTTAGCTCTGGGGCTGCCATATCACACTCCTTGCCCGTGCTGAGCATGAAGACACCTAACTACACATCTTCCGGAACAACTGTTGTCCAGCCATACTTGTACTTGTGAAATTCTTTGAACCCAAATATAAGACTTTACATGTATCACTATTAAATTTAATCTTACTATATTTAACAGTGTCCTAGCACATTGAGATACTTTGGGGACTAGATTCTTATCCAATGTGATAGCTATCCCTAATAGTTTTGTATCATTGAAAAATTTGATAAACATTCCATCTATACCCTTATACTTTTTTTTTTTTTTGCTTAGGCAATCTGGGTTAAGTGACTTGCCCAGGGTCACATAGCTAGTAATGGGCAAGTGTCTGAGACCAGATTTGAACTCAGGTGCTCCTGACTCCAAGGCTGGAGCTTTATTCACTGTGCCACCTAGCTGCCCCATACCCTTAAAGAACCAAAGTTAAGGACTGATCTCTTGGGCACTCCAGTAGCAATCTCCTTCCAAGTGGATAGCAAACTACTAATGATGATTCTTTGAGTCTGACCATTCAACTAATTATGAATCCACTTGTCTAGCCTAAATCTTCATTCTTCTACTACAAAAATAATATAAGAAGCTTTACTAAGAATCTGTGTAATCAGCATCTAGCAATTCAAAAAAAAGCTCATTAGTCTGGTGTGCCTTGTTATTGAAGCCATCCTGGTTCTTTGCAGCCAACACTTTTCTAGATACTCACCATACTTTCTTGAATGTTCTAGACAAAGTCAAGCCCACTGGTCTACAAGTTGGAAACTCCATTCTCTTCCCATTTTTTTGGAAAATTGGGATATTTGCAGTTTGAAGGTAATTAAGATGATTGAAGGGCATGGGGTCTGTGACATCAAGATCAGTTGAAGGAATCAGTATTGTTTAGACAGGAGAAAAGAAAACTCAGTAAAGGAACCTCGGTCCTCATGTAGATGGAAGTCACAAAGAAGCAAATTTAGGCTCGATGTCGGGAAAGGCTTCCTAGCAATGAGAGGGAACTATCCAAAAATGGAATGGGCTGCCTTGGGAGGGAATGGGCTCTTCCTTGTTGTATGGCTTTTAGCAGAGATTGGAGGATCTCTTGTGAAGCATGTTGTAGGTTGGAGTCCTTTTTCCATGTAGGTTGTCCCACAGAGTCAGACTACCGAGGTCCCTTCCAACTCTCAAATTCTGCGATCCCATGAACACCTTGGCTGTTCTCTGTGATGTCTCAGAAGTCATTGGTGATGAGGGCCTTGGCAACCATATCCACCAGTTCTTTCAGTATCCAGGGATGTCTTTTGCTGAGCCTCTGACTTGAACCCATCAAGGGCTTTAAATCTCCCTACTTATCTTGAGTATCAGTTCCTTTTTGGCCACACGGTCAGGCCTTTCCAGTCCAAAGACTTCTCCTTAATGGGAAGAGAGATGGGAAAGAGAAAAGCAAAGTAGTTCTGCCTCTTCTCCATCACCAGTTATCATCCCATCTACCCTCAAGCAGTGATCCTTTTCTTCCTTTGATCTTCCTCTTTAACCAAAAATAGCTTTTTTATATTAAATTTTGTTTCAATCAACGAAAACCTGCCTTTTGTCCCTCCCACCTCCCCTTCCATTGCCAAGATAGCTTTATTTTTTTAAGTTATTTTTCTTTTTTACTTTTGTTATTTTTTTAATTAAAATGTTTTCAACCAAAAAAATCTGCCTTCTCTCTCCCAGCTCCTCCCTCCCCCAATTGAGAAAGAAAACAAAAGCCCTGTTACAAACGTGTATAGACAAGCAAAACTAATTCCCATGTCTCCATCTGCCCTCTGAATCCATCACTTCTTTGTCCGGAGGTGGGTCACTGATTTCATCATGAATCCTTTGGAATCATGGTTTGTTCTTTACCAGCCTCCAATCACTCTGAGCTTTGGGAATCATACAAGATTAGAACTGAATAACAACAGCTGGTATTTCTGTAGTGTTTTAAGGTTTACAAAGCCCCTTACATATGTCCAGTTCATTTGGACAAGCATTTATCAAGTTCCCCGAGGAAGGGGAGGGGAGAACAAGGGAGAGGTGGGGAGGTGAGGAAGGGGAGGGAACAAGCAATTTATCAAGTGCCCCTGCCATGTGCAAGGCATTGTGTAACCTTAGCAACAGGTACACAGCTAAGCACTATGAAATCCATACAGATAGAGACTATGATGCCATTGGCATAAAGTCTTAGAGTTGTTTGGGGCACAAAGAAGTGCCACAGGGTCACACAACTGGTCTGAGGCAAAAGCAAGACTTGAATCCAAGCCTTCCTAGCCTATCCACTACCCTAGGTTCCCTTTCCATATGTAACATCTAACCAATATAAAATTGTAGGGGTGTCGAGGTGGCACGTTGGATAGAGCACCAGCCCTGGACTCAGGAGGACTTGAGTTCAAATATGACCTCAGACACAACACTTACTAGCTATGTGACCCTGGGCAAGTCACTTAACCCCAACTGCCTTGCAAAAAAAAATAAAATTGGGCACAAGAAGCAAAATAAAAACATATAAAACATATGACCAGAAAAGGAAGGGTAGCAAGAGTGAAGGACAGAGCACTAGGCCTAGAGTCAGGAAGGATTGAGTTCAAATCCAGCCTTGGATATTTACTAGCTATGTGACTCAGGGCTAGTCACTTAACCTATGTCACTTTCCTTCTCTGTAAAACTGGACAGCAGTAATAGCACCTACTTCCCTGGGTTGTGAAGATAAAATGAAAAGTGCTTTGCAAACCTTAAAACATTGATAGGTCTGCCTGCCTCAAGTCTCTCCCTACTCCAATCTACCCTCTATTCAGCCACCAAACTGATTTTCCTAAAGTGCAGGTCCAAAAACATGCCCCAGTGGTGACCGCGTAATTGCCTCCAAATCCTCTGTCGCTCAAAGTCCTTAATAGCCTGACCACCTCCTACATTTTCAGTCTTCATACTCTTCAATCCAATGACACCAGCCTCCTCTGGGCATTTTCTCTAGCTGTCCCCCATGCCTGGAATTCTCTCCCTCCTTCCTCATATCTACCTGCTGGCTTCCTGGGCTTCCTTCAAATCCCAACTAAAATCCCACCTTTTATAAGAAGCCTTTCCCAATCCCTCTTAGTTTTCGTGCCCTCCCTCTGTTGATAATTTCCTATATGTCTTATATATGACTTGCTTGTAAATATTTGTTTGCTTGTGGTTTTCACCCATTAGATTGTAAGCTCTGGATCTCGACTGAAAGTACACAGCTATTGTTCTGATTTGGGGTAAATGGTTATATTCATAATGAGGACCTAGAAGTCAATATTGGCATGACTGAATTTAGAATGTGAACAAATAGTTCTAGCACTGAGAGAGGATGGAACCTGTTCATTGATTTTTGCTGACTCTAGTCTGGAAAAGTTAGAATGTAAAAATCAACTTGGTTCTTTTTAGGAACTGGAAACTCGGTACCTTGCATTTTAGTTTAATAGAAACTAATGGGGGCAACTAGGTGGCGCAGTGGACAGAGCACTAGCCCTGAAGTCAAGAGGACCTGAGTTCAAATCAACTTCAAACCTCAGCCTCGAACCAAACACTTGACACTTACTAGCTGTGTGACCTTGGGCAAGTCACTTAACCCCAATTTGCATTGGGAAAAAAAAAGGGTATAGAAACTAATGATTACATTTTGAAAGAGAAATTTTTGACCTTGTTCTAATATCTCAAACTCTGAAATGCCTTGATGGCAGTTTTTAAAACTACTTGTCTGTTTCTGTATATAAAAACAACAAATTAATATTGTAAAAAAATATTGATAGAAGATGTTGTAAAAAAATAATAACTGTGAGTCTGTGAACTAAACCAGTTTGGAAGTGTTGGCTAATTTCTGTGCCTGTTAAACGTCATGTCAGAAACACAGAAATGTAGTTTTATTACAATAAATTACAAAATCACAATGTGGAAAAAAAAAAAAGATTGTAAGCTCCCTGAGGGCAGGGACTGTCTTTTGCCTCTTTCTGTATCCCCAGCTCTTAGCACAGTGCCTGGCATATAGTAAATGCTTCATTAATGTTGATTAACTGACTATATGCTGTTACTATAACACACAAATAGCCTTCATGCTGCTTTGCAGCATGGTTGGGCTGATGCCTCCCACCCTTTAGAAGAGATAGAACAAGAATGCCCAGGCTGAGGTTTGGCCTTTGTAGGAATCACTCACATTAATGAGATCTCAGATCCGTGAAATATAAGTATTTGCAAAGTAGGGTAAAAGGATTTAAAGTGAAAAGGACTTTAGAGATAATCTAGCCCAACTCCTCAT